TTTTTTTAAAAGAAACAAAGTGATCTCGCTATGTTGCCCAGGCTGGTCTCGAACTCCTAGGCTCAAGCAATCCTCTTGCCTCGGCCTTCCAAAGTGCTGGGATTATAGGCATGAGCCACTGCTCCTGGCCCGATATGCTATCCCTTTTAAAAACTGGAAACACTAATCCCAGCACTTTGGGAGGCCGAAACAGGCGGATCAGGAGGTCAGGAGATGGTGACTATCCTGGCTAACGTGGTGAAACCCCGTCTCTACTAAAAAATACAAAAAAACTAGCCGGGCGAGGTGGTGGGCGCCTGTAGTCCCAGCTACTCGGGAGGCTGAGGCAGGAGAATGGCGTAAACCCGGGAGGCAGAGCTTGCAGTGAGCTGAGATCCGGCCACTGCACTCCAGCCTGGGCGACAGAGCGAGACTCCATCTCAACAAAAAAAAACAAAAAACTGGAGGCACCTCAAACAATTTACCACCAAAGGACCATGTGGCCATACTGACTAAAGTGCACTACACTTTACGCTTACATCTTGTAAGCCAAGGTGTCTAACAAAGAGTATATAACCACAATATTAATTCTTTCCACCATAATCAATAAGGTCTGGGCCAGCCCAGCAATGTCATCCTCCTGGATCTCACTGAGGCTGCTCCAGAACACCAGAAGTCCTTCAGGATTTGGGTATGTCCCTCAAGTACTCTTTCAGTGGTTTTTATAAATGACCCAAAAGTTATGGTGAAATTTTTAAATGCAAAATACATAAAATATGAGTGGCTTATGCCTGTAATCCCAGCACTTTGGGAGGCTGAGGATTGCTTGAGTCCAGGAGTTTGAGACCAGCTTGGGCAACATGGTGAAACCCCCTCTCCACTAAAAATTTAAAAACTAAGCCAGGCCTGGTAGCGTGGGCCTGTAATCCCAGCTACAATCAAAAATCCTCAAAAAACACTTCTGCACTTAAGCACACTATGCTTTTTTCACCCAAAGTACCAAATCAAATTAATCAGGACACTTACCTTTGTACAATGTCGGACTCCAGTTAATAACTTCCCTAGGGCAGAGGGCATATGCACTGATTTACTTTGTACAAATTAACTAGCATCAGGCAATCAGGTCTGTGCCTGACACATAGTAGGCACTCTATGATTAAAGATCAGTGCTTTGCCTCCAAAGTTTTAAAAGCTTCCCCTACAAAAGAACAGAACTGAAATTCCTTGGTCTTGTATTCAATGTCTTTTATAAGTAATCACTTCTCCCCTACTTACTCTGCTAGTCTACTGGGCTACCAGGAATCTTTTTTTTTTTTTTTTTTTTTTTTGGAGCTAGGGTCTTACTCTGTAGCCCAGGCTAGAGTGTGGCAGCAGGATCACAGCTCACTGCAGCCTCAACCACCCGGGCTCGGGTGATCCTCCCACCTTAGTCTCACCAGTAGCTGGGACTACAGGCCCACGCCACCAGGCCTGGCTTATTTTTTTAATTTTTAGTGGAGAGGAGGTTTCACCATGTTGCCCAAGCTGGTCTCAAACTCCTGGGCTCAAGCAATCCTCCTGCCTCAGCCTCCCAAAGTGCTGGGATTACAGGCATAAACCACCACAAATTATTTACACCTATCAAATTCCACCCATTATTTGGGACCCAGTTGAAATCACTCCTTTGGCAAAAAGACTTTCTAGACAACTCCAGGCCTCATAACCTCTCCTTTCTCTGAAGACCTGCAGCATTCAGCAGTAGCACTGTCCAATAGAACATGCTATGATAACAGAAATGTTCTACATCTGTACTGTATATTCTTTTATGTAGAACAGCTACCTTGTTAGCGCAACAGTAAAGTCTCACCATCTCTTTGCTGACAAGATGTTACACTGGATGGTTAAAACATTTATCAACTCCCCGAGTAGATTGAAATTTCTGTGAACAAGATACAACTTATTCTTCATAGCAACTCTGACAACGTTGCAAAAGGTATATATTTGTTGGCCAGGCAAGGTGGCTCATGCCTGTAATCCCAGCACTTTGGGAGGCTGAGGTGGGCAGATCTCTTGAGGACAGAAGTTTGAGACCAGCCTAGTCAACATAGTGAAACCCCATCTCTATTAAAAATACAAAAAGTAAGCTAGCTGGGCGTAGTGGCGGGCACCTGTAATCCCAGCTATTCAGGAGGCTGAGGTGCAAGAATCACTTGAACCTGGGAGAAGGAGGTTACAGCGAGCCAAGATCATACCACTGCACTCCAGCCTGGGTGACAGAGTGCAACTCCAACTCAAAAAAAAAAAAAAAGTATATATTTATTGATTTGCACATCACCTAAGAAAACCATAAGCTAAAAAGGTGTCTGGAAAGTTGGTCACCACCTCTACGCCATCTCACATCTGAATGTCAAGAGACACGTAGAGGCAGGGTGGTTAAAGCAACTTTCTAGAGACAGAAATGACCACTGATCAAGCCACAATGCACTCTGGTTTAAATGACATTTAGGTCATGACTGTCCTTAATCTAAAATAAACCACGATTAGTATTTCTTTTCATTAGTAAATAGCTGAATTCTGATGGTAAATTATGCTGACCAAAAACAGTTCCTCACTTCCCAAGTTAGACATAGCAATTAGGTAGAAAAATAATCTAAGCAAGCTCCATTTGTATTTCTTTTTTCACGTGTTTATTGAATATTTACCTCCCATAAAGTCTTTCAGCCTGTTGGTGGTATTTTACTGTTCAGATATATGTTAGAATTTCACTGATACTGGGTGCGGTGGCTCACACCTGTAATCCTAGCACTTCGGGAGACAGAGGCGGGCGGCTCACGAGGTCAGGAGTTCAAGACCAGCCTAGCCAATATGGTAAAACCCTGGTCTCTACTAAAAATACAAAAATTAGCCGGGCGTGGTGGTGCGCAACTGTAGTCCCAGCTACTTGGGAGGCTGAGGCAGGAGAATCACTTGAACCCAGGAGGCAGAGGTTACAGTGAGCCAAGATTGCGCCACTGCACTCCAGCCTAGGCAACAGAGCAAGACTCCGTCTCAAAAAAAAAAAAAAAAAGAATTTCACTGATACTTTTCACAAAATATACAGAAGGCGGCACAAATTCCACCACTATGGCACTCTGCCGCCTTGGGCAAGTGTCTTGATCCTTTGGCCTCAATTTTCTTATCTACAATATTAGAGTAATTGTTATGTGAACTACCTACCTCACAAGTCCTTTGTGGGTCAATTCATAACTGTGCTGTGGGTATTTCTTTTTCTTTCCTTTCTTCCTCCTTTCTTTCTTAGAGACGGGTTCTCATTATGTTGCCTAGACTAGACTCTAGACCCAATTCCTGGCCTCTCACCATGTTGCCCAGACCAGACTCAACTCCTGGACTCAAGGAATCCTCCGGCCTCAGCTTTCAAGTAACTGGGATCAGAGGTGTGCACCACCATGCCTGGCACTGTGGATATTTTTAAGTGATTATTCTTCCCAAATGAACTACATAAAAAACAAAAGATTCATGAATTTACTAATGGTTCTTTGTGATGGATGTGCTAATACAGAGACTAAAATCAAGGCTCCAACCTCTAAAACATTTTTTTTTTTTAATTCCAGACTTGTTTCCCCATCCCACTGTGCAAACTGAACAAAAACTGGGCTAGCACTCCCGTCTGGAACATGTAATAAGGAAATAAATGTGCTGACTCAGAGAACACAGACATATTTAATATAAAATAAAATAGAAAACTGGCTGAATCAAGTCATAGCACAGTCTAAATCCACATATAAAAGATTGAGATGATTTTCTGCTTTGCTTTATTCAAGCCCAATGCTTTATCAGCACAGCCAGCCAAAAATTTACAACCCATGCACAGACTACGTAAACCTTTAGTTGCACATACAGTAAGACCAGCAGGTACACACTATACACATTTTTAACAAAAAACAATGACTAACCACTGATTTTGTCACCACACTTACAACGACCTGATATGGCACAGGGTGATGTGTATCAAACATGGAAATACCAACTTGGGCGACGGTTTGAATCTTGTTAACTTCAGTGCAACCACACCCCCCTAAATGCAGGTAAACTTAGCACACATGGTTTTGTCAAGGCCAGCCTGTCTTTGTTTCCCTCTCCTCTGCATTTACCCAAGATCTTGGCTCTGAGACACAGAACTCCCACTCTCGATTGGTTCATTCCGTCCTATGCAATTAAGCAATACCACAATCCAGTAAACGCAATGGCTCAATTATTTATCTTCTGGCCGACTTTACCAGGTATTTGGAAAAGAACATTGCCAAGAGATTTATTTCTCTCTCTAGAGCTGGCTTGACGGGTTGACGGGGATTTTGTCTTTTTTTCCCCTCTTTTTTACATGGCGGGGGCGTGAGGGGAGCATAGTTTAACCTAGAAAAAGATGGGAGGGAATTTAGAAAGAGTACCGGTCTGTCAATTTCCCTACAGGAAACTTGATTCTTATGCAATAAAGCCTACCCGCGACCAGCCAGCCCGTGAGGCTGCAGGGGACAGACACACCTATTCCTGCCTCCAGAAGGGCACAGCTGGCTCCTGAAGAAGCGGGAACAGGGCAAGCGGAGGAAGTGGCTCAGAGGGAGCCGCCGGCCAGGCGGGGAGGAGGCGCTTTCCGACCCCCACCCGCGCCGGTGATCCCCGCCGGCGTGACAGTCGCTCCGGCGGCCGGAACGTCCCCAGGGCTCCAGGGAGCAGGAAATCGGGGGACTGTCCCTCACTCCTGCCGCCGCAGCCGAGTGCGCCCTCGCCCCACGGTGCCCCCTCGGGCGCGTTCTCACGTTTCTCCGAAGAACGAAACTTCCCTCCAGCGCCCCGAGTCCCTTCCGAGGCCCGCTCCTGTCATCCCGAAGAGTCTTCCCTCAGGGCGACCCTCCGCGTCTCCTCATCTCTCCCCGCCCCACTGCAGCGTCCATCACAAAATCCCCAAGGTCCCAGAGGCCCCCAACCGCGGCGGCGCCCCCAGGTCCCCAGGCCTCCCCGACGGCCCCACCCTGCACCCCCTTCACCTGTTTCTCCAGCAGAGGCCGAGAGGCCGGGGCTGCGCGTGCGCCGGGGGCGGGCGACGGGGCTCCCTCAGGCCGGAGGGCTTATCCGAGCCGAGGGGGAGAGACAGCGCCGAGCCGGGGTGCCTGTCCAGGATCCGGTTGGGGCTTGTTCCCTCGGCTGCTACGTCGGAACCCCCGGCTCCCCCTCCCGGTCTACGCCGCCGCAGCTCCGGAAACCGCTGAATTACAGCCCCTTCAGCCAATCCCCGCCCAGCCCCAGCCTGGCCGGGGCACGCCGTCATGCATAATTCATGAACGGCCATTTCGCTCGGCCACCCAGAGGTCCCAGTGCGTGTGCGGTACCGACAAAGCCCCGCCCACTGACCAATGAAGAGAGCAGCTAGGAGAAAGGGCGGAGCCAAGAGAAGACTGATACGCCCCTGTGCTGGCTGTTCCGACAGTTCGGTGCTCCTCCCTCCGCCACAGCGAGGGAAGAGCCGAGGACTTGGGCACAGAAGCCCGGGGGGAGGGAGGGAAGATGACCGGAATGTCCTGCTGAAAACTCAGCTGAGTTCCTGGCAGTGCGTGACGTCAAGGCACTTTAAATGCCCCTGATACAGCTCCCTCCTGTCCGCTCTCCCTTTTCCCGGCCCTTGGCACCACGTGGTGGCGAGATTGAGAGCCTCTTACCACGTGGGAATCAGCCAGTTAGACAGTCCCCAGGTATCTCCAGATCCTCTGGGGACCCAACACCTGAATTGGGTTCTGGGGACAACAAAAAGAACATGAGTGACTCCGCCTGCTTTGAACTTCAGTTTCTGCGTGAACAGGGACACACACACCCGGAAACATGACGTGGAAATAGAGTAAATACTAGAGTGCGTGGGGAGAAATAGTAGATTTAACCCCGTCCTCCGTTCCATCACTTCAAGCATCAAACTCCGAGCAGCTAGCCCATTGGCCGGTACAGGCGAATGCAGAAGACGGTGTATACGAAAGTTGATACGTGTAGGGCTTGACATTTTTATGCGTCTGAATTGAAATACATGAAATGTTCCGCCTTTTTCGTTTCCACCTTGCCTACTTGGTATGCAAGTTTTGCTGAATTGAAGCCAGTGGTTCATAGGAAATGTAGACATTTTGCCTTTCATAATAGAGGATGAACTTTGCATAATGGAGTGATTTCTGTGTATGTGCTGATACTATCAGGGTTTTTAATTTTTATTTTTTTAGGGTCTTTAAAAATATGTTATTAATATTTGTGTTTGTTTAATACGAACCGGTATAAAGACAAAACTCTATAAAGGACCCATTATCTCACTGCTCAGATAACCCCTGACATTTTTTTTTTCAATGAAACTAATACATGTTCCTGTTTAGAAAATGCAGACCGTTCAGAAAGGTAAAAAATTTTAAATGAAAATCTTTCCCTACCCCCATCATTCCTTCTCCCCAGGGATAGCTATTCTTATTAATTTGTAGTGAGAAAAATCAATGACTCTTAACCTTTGAAGGGAGTCACAGATCCTTCTGAGTGTTTGAAGGAGACTAAATTCTAGCCCCAGAAACAGCACAAGCTTTCACTCACATGGTTCTCCAGATACCTGAAACCCGTCTAACGTCTACAGATTCAGACCATTCATACCACCTCATATCCAACGAGGGACAGAGGCACCTACAGGGCAATTCATAGGGTCACTGGTGCTGGGAATTGAGAACCTCCTATTGCCCTCTGGTAGACACAGCCCAATGTGGAAATTGCTGTATTTAACCTGTAGAGTGTGTGTGTATTGATTAGACTGTTTATCTACACCACAGGACAGATATCCCTCATCTCCACCTATATTCTCTTGTAACTGCGCTATCCCATGCCATTAACTTCCTCCCTGATAACACAGGGTCTAGGACTTGTTTAGTGATTTACTGCTTACAAAGCACTTACACACCTTATACACTCCCTGCCTCGTTTCTTTCTCACAATCATGAGTAGCAGATAGGAGAGGCCATATTATCCGCTGATAGAAAACTAAAGCAAACATAATATGACATTTTCAAGATCACAGAGATATTAAGAAATATACCAGGTTTTGGGGCTTTATGTCCCATAGCTTTGTTCCATTCATTCAAACCCTGCCCTGACTTCTCAGGAGCTGGCCTCTGTTTCCCTCATTGGCCTCCCCACCAGTAACACATAAAATCTACCTCTGAGACTATCGGTTTGACCTGCAAAAATTCTCTTCAACCCAGACACTGGCCTTTCTCCATGTCCCGCCAAATTCCTCTTGGCTAAATGCTGCAGTTTCTGTCCCTTGGGCCTCTGCCTTAATCACCTGATAATTCTCTCCTTACTCTATCCTATTCTTCCACTGGCTGCCAGAGACATCATCCTAAAAATTAAATAAATAAATATATATTCAGGCCAAGTCGGGCGGATCACAAGATCAGGAGTTCGAGACCAGCCTGGCCAACACAGTGAAACCCCGTCTCTACTAAAAATACAAAAATTAGGCCGGGCACTGTGGCTCACGCCTATAATCCTCAGCTCAGGAAGCTGAGACGGGCAGATCACCTGAGGTCAGGAGTTCGAGACCAGCCTGACTAATATGATGAAACCCTATCTTTACTAAAAATACAAAAATTAGCTAGTCATGGTGGCTTGCACCTATAATCCCTGCTACTTGGAAGGCTGAGGCAAGAGAATCGCTTGAACCCAGGAGGTGAAGGTTGCAGTGAGCCGAGATCGCGCCATTGCATTCCAGCCTGGGCAACAAGAGCAAAACTCCATCTCAAAACAAAACAAAACAAAAGCAAAAATTAGCCAGCCATGGTGGCACGCACCTGTAGTCCCAGCTACTCAGGAGGCTGTGAGCCCAGATCCCTCCACTGCACTCCAACCTGGGTGATAGAGCAAGACTCTGGCTCAAAAAAAAAAAAAAAAAATTCAATCATGTCACAGTCAGTTTAAAAATCTCTATGGTTCCCTCTTACCGGCAAGATAAAATCCAAGTTAATTTTTTTTGTTTTTGAGACAGAGTTTCCTCTTGTCGCCTAGGCTGGAGTGCAATGGTATGATCTTGCGTCACTGCAACCTCCGTCTCCCGGGTTCAAGCAATTCTCCCGCCTCAGCTTCCCAAGTAGCTGGGACTACAGGTGCCCACCACCATGCCCAGCTAATTTTTGCATTTTTAGTAGAGACGGGGTTTTACTATGTTGGCCAGGCTGGTCTTGAACTCCTGACCTCAAGTGATCTGCCCACCTCGGCCTCCCAAAGTGCTGGGATTACAGACATGAGCCACTGTGTCCGGCCAATCCACGTTAAATTTTAAAAATGCTAGCCAGGCACAGTGGCTCATGCCTGTAATCCTAGAGCTTTGGGAGACCGAGGCAGGAGGATCATTTGTGGCCAGGAGTTCAAGATCAGCCTGGGCAACATGGCAAAACACCAACTTTACATAAAATTAGCCGGGCGTAGTGGTGGCATGCCTGTAGTCCCAGCTATTCTGGAGGCTGAGGTAGGAGGATCACTTGAACTCAGAAGGAAGTTCGAAGTTACAGTGAGCTATGATCGTTCTACTGTACTATAGTCTGAGCAACAGAACAAGACCAACCTGGTCCCAAAAACAAATAACAACAAAAAAAGCTGATCATTTAATTCAGTGCCATGGCTGGGTGCGTTGGCTCATGCCTGTAATCCCAATACTTTGGGAGGCCGAGACGGGCAAATCCTGAGGTCAGGAATTCAAGACCAGCCTGGCCAACATGATGAAACCCCACCTCTACTAAAAATACAAAAAAATTAGCTGGGCTTAATGGCAGGTGCCTGTAATCCCAGCTACTTGGGAGGCTAAGGCAGGAGAATCACTTGAACCCGGGAGGCGGAGGTTGCAGTGAGCCGAGATCACACTATTGTGCTCCAGCCTGGGCGACAAAGTGAGACTCTGTCTCAAAAAAAAAAAAAGGAAAGAAAAGAAAAAAGCACTATAATTCAGTGCCATGCATGTGGTAGGAGCTCAATTGATGTTCCTTCTTTCTCCCTCTTGATTTGAATAATAAAATCCTACAGGCCTGGTGCAGTGGCTCACACCTGTAATCTCAGCACTTTGAGAGGCCGAAGTGGGTGGATCACCTGAGGTCAGGAGTTCAAGATCAGCCTGACCAACATGTTGAAAGTCTGTCTCTACTAAAATTACAAAAATTAGCCAAGCGTGGTTGTGGGCACCTGTAATCCCAGGTACTCAGGAGACTGAGGCAGAAGAATCTCCTGAACCCAGGAGATAGAGGTTGCAGTGAGCTAAGATTGTGCCATTGCAATCCAGACTAGGCAATACAGTGAGACTCTGCCTCAAAAAAAAAAATTTCTACAAAGGCTGATCTGAATCCTCCCTTTTCTAACCTAGTCCTACAAACCCTATTAAATGTGCTACCTTCTTCCAAACATATCTACACCTTCTGCAACTTCATGCCTCTGTGGATAGTCTTCCTTCCACCTGTAATCTCTTCCCTTTCCTCAGTCCCTACCTGAGAACTCTTACTCATTCTTCAAAGCCCTGTTGCAACATCACCTCCTCTAGGCTTCCCTCTATTCTTACTGGCAAAGTTAATCTCCTACCAGACTCCCTCAGCAGGTTGTTTCCCCATCTAGATATATTCTCTACCTTGAACTCTAATAAATCCATGTATTGGCCTACTTCCTGAAAAATAAACAATAATTAACATTGATTAAGTAATCACTACTATGTTCCAGGAACTATGCTAAGCATTTTACATATATTATCTCATTTGATCCTCACCAGAACCCAGTGAGGTGGGTAATATTATAATTCTTATTTTACAACTGACGAAACGAAGACTTAGAAAGTGAAAGACTGGCTCGAGACTGGTCTCACAGCTAGAAACTGTGTGGGAACTCAGAATGAAAATCAGGTCTGGCTGACTCTCTGGCCACATGCTAACAAACACCTTCCCCTAACCTGTGGGTTCCTGGAAACTTGAACCCCTTCAGGCCTGTCTTCATAATCTCAGCATCTATCATCTAGCCTAGAGCTCACCTAAGACTGAATTAATTAAATATTAATAAATAAGTCTTGAGGCCCGGCGTGGTGGCTCATCCTGTAATCCTAGCACTTTGGGAGGCTGAGGCAGGCGGATCACTCCAGCCTGAGCAACAGGGCGAGACTTGGTCTCAAAAAACAAAAAAAGGGCCGGGCGCGGTGGCTCACGCCCGTAATCCCAGCACTTTGGGAGGCTGAGGCGGGTGAATCATGAGGCCAGGAGATCGAGACCATCCTGGCTAACACGGTGAAAC